CTGAACGATCACACTATACCTCTAATCGATCACATTGTTGGTTAGATCGATCGAATTATTCGCAGAAGTTATTGAAAAGCAGATCTAAAGCTCATTTTGAACTAACTTGGGCTGTGCTTGAAAGGGGAGATCCTAGGGCCAAGTTCTCATATTTTTGAGCTCTAAAAGCCTTGTATATAAAAGGGATTGAACCATTTTTGTAGGGAGATTCATATTTTTACATTGTAATTTTTATATTGTTGTAGTTTTCTCTCTCTAGAAAGTTAGAGATTAGGGTTAGAAGAAAGAGGGAAGTGGAGGTACAATCCAAGAACACATCTCTAGATCCACATACTCTCTATCTCTAGAGCTTCAAAGAAGAAGAAGAGGAAGAAAAAGATGAAGCCATATTTGGAGCTTGCCTTTGAGGGTTTCAAGACCATATCTACCTCCTCCATGATTGGCTAGATCTACACTTAGGGCTTGGATGAGCCTTAAGTCTTGTGTAATCTAAACCCATGTATTTCTATTTTTGGGAATTTATATATATATATTGTTGTGATTAGTGCTTAGCTTTGTGATTGTTGCTTTAATTCTTCCTTATGATTCTCTATTTTAATTACATGTTGTCTTATATTTGATTATTTGAGAATTGATATATACACTAGATTCTCTATATTGGTTGCATGTCTATCTGTGATTAATTAAGGATTTAGTGATGGCTAAGCATGGGTTTTCATTGAATGGGTTTGTCAATTAATTTAATGGATTATGTTTACACTTGATGGGTTGTTCTACAATTTAATTCATGTTTTTAGATAGGTAGACAATCTTTACTTGGTTTGATACTCCACACTTGTTATTGCAAATTCCATGATTCTCTAGATTGATGTGTGCTCTCATTAGACCCATTTGTTAACTAATTGATGGATTATACCTTTGTCTTGGTGGGTTGTTCTACACTTAGCTTACTTGTTAATTAGGTAGATAATTCACTCTTGCATTATATAGTTCACACTTTTACATGCAAATTGTGTTTATGTTTGTGGCCACATCGTATTCCCAATTAATGAAAAACAAGTGGTTAATTACATGAGCTTAGTGATGATTCCAATACCTTAAGACCTCTCTTCATATCTCTTAAATCCCTATCTCTCACTAGTTTACTTTAATTGCATTTTAATTTAATTATTTTCTAGAATAATCAAACAACCAATCCTCCTTTGCAATCTTTTGATACGCTATAATCAAAGTTAAATTCCAACACGTATAATCTCTTTGAACGATCCTTAGTCGATATACTTCATTAGTTGTAGTAGTGATTTTTATAAATGTAAATTTAACTAGAAAGGCTTCCAAAACAACATTCATGTTTTGACCTTGCGAAACAACCTCTCTCATCAAAAAGTCCATTTTCTAAACACATAGGAATGGGCTCGTCAAATTTTAGCTTCGTTGCGATTTTGTTAAAATTAGACTAAACAATAGTATTCATTTGATTACTTCTTTTTTATTTTGTTTTCCATTGTATATTCTTTTCTTTCTCTTGATATTATTTGTTCAATTAGGTACTTGACTACAAGAAAGACAAACATTGGATCTTAAAGCAATCATTGGAGCTTAAAACTAGCGTTGGAGTTTGAAGTTGCTTAAGGACCTTTATGAGCATTTCTTGAAAATCTCGTAGTTTAATTGTTTCACTTCTTTGCATGTTTGTGATAGCCCTTGTTGAAGCTCATTATATTGCTTAAATCTTTGTCCAAGTAACGGCCCGTGTGGAGGCCATTATTTGTTGAATTTTTTCAAGCTTTGTCCAAACAGTAGCTATCAAATAATGAGTACCACCATGTTGAACTCAGTAGAAGTAGCATTACCCATAAAAAATAAAAATAAAAAAGTAAGAAAATGACCATTGGAATAGACTTGTATAAATGTATAACAACTTAAGGCAAAATGTTAGAAAATATATACCTTTTTTCAGATTTGTTGCAAATAGCAGCAAGCAAAGAATGACCACCACCATGTTCAACTCAGTAGAAGTAGTAGCTTTATCCACACACACACACAAAAAAAAAATAATAATAATAAAAAAATTCACCATTGGCATACAATCATTTAAATTTTCAGACTTGTAACAAACAGCAACAACCAAATTACAACTACCGCCAATCTCAACTCAGTAGAAGTAGTAGCATTACCCAAAAAAAAAAATACCATTGGCATATAGTCATGGCAATCAAATTGCGACCACTACCATATTTAACTTAATAGAAGTAGTAGCATTATCCACAAAAATAATAATAAAATTACCATTGGTATAGAGTCATAGAAAATGTAAAACAACTTAAAGGCAAATTCATAAAAAAATATATACTCCCTCCGTCCCAAAATAAGTGTCATGCTTTCTTTTTTGTCTGTCCCAAAATAAGTGTCCATTTTCCTTTTTCAAACAATATATTTCACATCATTCCAAAAATGTCCTTTGAGTTTCGATTTTAAACTTAAACATTCAAAACTTAAAAGAGCAAGTTAATAATTTTTCAGACTAACAATGTATGTTCTACATGTCCCCTTAAAAATTACTACTCCTTATAAGTGACACTTATATTGAGACAGAGGGAGTACATTTTTTCAGACTTGTTCCAAACAACGGCAACCAAATTACGACCACCACCATGTTCAACTCAGTAGAAGTAGTAGCATTATCTGCCACCACAAAAAAAGAAAAAAAGAAAAAAAAGAAACTAGCAAATGTATAACAACTTAAAGGCAAAATCATAAAAAATATATACCTTTTTTCAGACTTGTTGCAAACATCATCAACTAAATTACGACCACCATCATGTCCAACTTAGTAGAAGTAGTAACATTATCCACCAAAAAAAAAAATTTACCATTGGCATACAGTTATAGCAAATGTGTAACAACTTAAAGGCAAAATCATAGAAAATATATACCTTTTTTTATACTTGTTGCAAACATCAGCAACCAAAGAAAGACTACTACCATGTTTAACTCATTTACAGACCCAAAAGTAAGCATAAGCTACTAAAATCATAATATTACTTCCAAAATAAAACATATCGTATGAATGTCACAGTTATCATATATAAATATATTACACATATTATTTCTCAACAACAACAACAATGAACAAGAACAATATCACAACCACCATAAATAGTATGGTAAGTGTAATACACCCACAACCACCATATACCATGTACTTGTGCTTAGTTTGTTCAACATATTATGACAAGAAATTTGATAACATATTCAACATATTAAATCATATCAATTAGAATGTATATATTTAACCACACCTCCCATTTTGGACATCTATAGAAGAAACGTCCTTTATTTTTCGGAGTTCCTGCCCTGTAAAGATTCATAGGACCTCTACCACATGCACACGGTGGTCCCTATACTTGATACATGGCTGCATATTCATCAAATAGAGTTAACATGCAACAAGAACCCCAAATACAACAAATATACTACAGCATTACATACAGTCATCCCGCAATGTAATAAGTGAAACTAAAAGCAATTCAGGTCAGTTAGAAGTACTAATAAAGTTGAGTCATCCAGTGTCATATAAGTCAGGTTAAAATGGATATTCTCAATGGTGTTGCACACGGCTTCATATTGCATCAACAATACTATCATAGACGTGATCCATTACTCGTACCTGACCTGGCGTACCGTTTACCTCTACATGGGGCTCACTTTGCGAAGAAGAAGATTCTGGGTTGTCCCCTAACTCATTACCATCAAAGATAGTATCACTTTGACACTGCATTTTTATAAAATTATGTATTGTACAACATACTATGACAATAAGTTTTTGAGTATCAAAACTAAATGGAGGCACCTGTTTCAAAATAGGGAATCACATCTTTAACAAACCAAAACAACGCTCTATAGCATTCCTCAATGATGAGTGTCTATTATTATATACTTCTTCATGATCACGTGGTCCTTTCTAATTCCTACGGTAATCTTATAAGTGATACCGTTGCGATACGGAGCCAAGTAACCTGGTTGATTTGCATAACCGGAGTCCACCAAATAGAATTTCCTTGTATTTAATTTTAGCTTTTTAGATAACTAGATAATATATTTTATACTTACATATAACTCGTAAGTCTTTCCAATTATTTTTACCAAAAGGAGATCTTAGAAATTGAAGCTCCACGTTGTTTATGGTTTCATTTAAAATTCTTGAGTCATTAGCTGACCCTTCCCACCCTGTTAGTACATAAGTGAATTTCATATTAAACGAGCAAACACACATGACATTTTGAGTTGTATCATTTTTTCTCCCACGAAATGGAATCTACATATCAGCTGGCACATGTGCATGGATGTGGGTTCCATCTATAGCTTCGACACAATCTCCAAAGAATCGGTAATATTTAGGATTGAATCTAATCTCTTGAGGAGTGACAGTCAAGTTAGGGGGGACAATGACCTTCGTGCCTAGCTCACAAACTTTATTTAAGATCTTATGGAAATGTACTAAAATTGTCCAAGTTGAGTGCTGGAATCTTTTGGCCACTACACGGTTCCTTTCATTGTGTGCCAATGTAAGTAGGAAGATTGTAACTTGTTCTTGAATAGTTAAAAATCTTGAATGTTTAAATCCTAAAGATTTAAACAGGGGTTACATCCTAAAGTTCTAATAGCATCTATCAGGGTGACCAGTTAAAACCTCTATTACGTAGTTTGGACCTTTCAAACAGGAATCCTTACCTGGTCATCTATCCTAATACTTTGCAAAATATTTAAACACAATGTCTATCAACAATAAATTTTCGTTGTCTTCTTCATCAGAATCAATCAACTTAATTAATGTCCTTACATCCATATATAGAAACCTATTTTAATGGAAATCAAAGATATCACATCATGACGACATACAAGTTATTATTATAACATTAAAAATTACAAGGCCATTAATTAAAACAGAGCAGTAAGTAACATATCAATTAAGAAAGGGTTAAAAAAATTGATGATAATTAAAGCAAAAGTAAACAACAGTCAACATAGCAGTTTTAGACAGCAAATACATAAAACATAGCAGTTAGTACAGTCATCCAACAAAAAAATTAAATATAGTACAGTCATCCGGAAAAATAAAGAAATAGCAGTTATATAGTCATCTAAGTTTTAAAACAACCATATGACAGAAGAAGTCTATCAACCAAGAACGTCAAAAAAATCCTTACAGGCCCATCACCCATCCCACTTTCCTATCATCTGGAATGCTAAGAAAGATATCCCTTCACAATGGTGAGTCATGGAACATCACTAAGGCCTTATTGTAATGGACAGTATCAAGTCTATCCAAATTAGTCATAACCTTAATGCAATCTTGCACTTCTTCCCTATCCTTGTCCCTTTGGGTGGGAGAGTTACAATCATCTGCCTCATGGGATCCTACACGATTGGAAGAGGTAGCAACTATGGCTTTTTCTATTGCCTCAGCTTTCCTCTTTGAATTCTCAATCATGGTTACCATGACTGCAGACATTGTGGATGCAAAACTATCTTTCATAGCTTTCTTACGTCAAGGTTCAGGTGATGGAGTCTTCTCTTTACCCTGTACATCATTTCATTCCTCATTGATAGTATCACCAAGAGAATTAATGTGAGCCATATTTGTGGGTACATGTGACGTTGTGTGAGATCTAGTAGAAGGATAGACTTGAGATCATGTTGCATGTGTGTCTCCAAAGATGGCAGACAACTTCTCAAAATGCTTACAACCTTTTTTACAAATTTTTTTCCCATATTTAAGAACCTACATGTCATAATAAGTTTATTATAAAAATATGTGTATCCCAAAAAGGTAAATAATAGTACAATAGATTGCATTATTTATCACTAACCTTTGTCAAACATTCCCATCTCTCATCTTCCATTACAAGCATTCCACTCTTAGCATTATAGCCCACACCCGTCTCAGACAACAAAATTTTGAAATCCTCGTGTATTGCCCTCAATTGGTTGAATTTACTTCTAAGTTGTTTATTGGTGTATGTCTGGCCTGTTTCAACCATCATTCCTTCCGTTATGTTTCTCCATCCAACATTGTTAAAAGTTGCATAAGTATGATTTCCTTGCCTAACCTCTTCCCTCATCAGCAAAATGAATTTCTCTTCTGAATAGTTATCCCAAATATTTTTCCCATCATCCGTTGTGTCTATCATATCTACTAGCACCTCATCACCCAAGCTCATTTCATTGGCATAATCATATAGATTATTGGGATTAAGATCCATCTAATAAACAGAACGGTTATAAGTACCATGATATACAGTTTAATAAATTGAAAATACATTGCAAGTATCATGCATTACATAGACTAAAACAGTTTAACAAATGGATATAGGTAGCATGATACACAGTTTAACAAATGGATCAATTGGGTTTCAATTCAATTTGCATATAGTTGTACACAAAAATTGAGGTTCAGTAACCAACCAAACAAATTATAAGAAGAAATATTATAACTTTCACTGAAAACCAATCACAAAAGATTTTTAAATGAAAAAAAGTTACAAGTTGTAAGTCAGTTTGCATATCGGTAGCATGATACACAGTTTAACAAATAGATCGATTGGGTTTCAATTCAGTTTGCATATAGTTGTACACAAAAACTGAGGTTTAGTAACCAATCACAATAGATTTTTAAATGAAAAAAAGTTACAAGTTGAAAGTCAGTTTGCATATAGGTAGCATGATACACAATTTTACAATTTGATCAATTGAGTTTCAATTTAGTTTTCATATAGTTATACACAAAAACTGAGGTTCAGTACAAATAAAAAGTATAAGAAGAAATATTATAACTTTTACTGAGAACCAATTAGAAAAGATTTTTAAATCAAAAAAAGTTACAAGTTGGAAGTCAGTTTGCATATAGGTAGCATGATACATTGTTTAACAGATGGATCAATTGGGTTTCAATTCAGTTTGCATATAGTTGTACACAAAAACTGAGATTAAATACACATGAACAAATTATAAGAATAAAAATTATAACTTTCAATAAAAACCAATCACAATAGATTTTTCAAACAAAAAAAGTTACAAGTTGGAAGTCAGTGTTACATATATGTAGCATGATACACAGTTTAACAAATGGATCAATTGGGGTTTCAGTTCACTTTGCATATACTTGTACACAAAAACTGAGGTTCAGTAGAAATGAACAAATTACATTTAGAAATATTATAACTTTCACTGAAAACCAGTCACAATAGATTTTTAAAACAAAAAAACTTACAAGTTAGCAGTCAGTGTTGCATATAGGTAGCATGATACACAATTTAACAAATGGATCAATTGGGGGTTTCAATTCACTTTGCATATACTTGTACACAAAAACTGAGGTTTAGAGAAATGAACAAATTATTTCAGTGAAAACCAATCATAATAGATTATTAAAGCAAAAAAACTTACAAGTTGGAAGTCAGTGTTGCGTGATACACAGTTTAACAAATGAATCAATTGGGTGTTTCAATTCAGTTTGAATATACTTGTACACAAAAATTGAGGTTCAGTACAAATGAACAAATTATAAGAAGCTGCCCATGCAGTGACTTACCCTGCCCGGGTGGGGATACGCACTTCCGGGTCCTCGGAGATTAGTCGGGTTATTGAGGGGTCCTAAGGATTCGTGCCATCCCGAACACCTCAGGTTAATTAAAAAAAAAAATTATAAGAAGAAGTATTACAACTTTCACTGAAAACCAATCACATTAGATTTTTAAAACTAAAAAACTTTTACAAGTTGGAAGTCAGTGTTGTATATAGGTAGCTTGATACACAGTTTAACAAATGGATCAATTACTGGTTTCAAATTGAAACCAAGGATTGTCATTTTAAACTGATATCAACATATACAAGATCATTATACACAACATATAAAAAATGAATTAAAGTAACCAAACTGTAATTTTAGAAGTAGAGTTTCCAAATGGAAGACATAAAAAAAACCCAATGTTATACACAATATAAAAAAATGAATTGAAGTACCAAAATTGTGTAATTTCAGAAATAGGGTTTTCAAATCGAAGACAGAAATAAACTCAAAATTATACACAACATAAAAGAAAAATTAATCCAAGTAACAAATCTGTAATTTCTGAAGTAGGGTTTCCAAAAGGAAGACAGAAATAAACCCAAAATTATACACAAAATAAAAGAAAAATTAATCTAAGTAACAAATCTGTAATTTCAGAAGTAGGGTTTCCAAATCGAAGACAGAAATAAACCCAAAATTATACACAACATAAAAGAAAAATTAATCTAAGTAACAAATCTGTAATTTCAGAAGTAGGGTTTCCAAATCTAAGACAGAAATAAACCCAAAATTATACACAGCATAAAAGAAAAATTAATCCAAGTAACAAATCTGTAATTTCAGAAGTAGGATTTCAAAATCGAAAACAGAAATAGATCCAAAGTTATACACAACATAAAAAAAAAAAAAAATTTGAGTCGAAGTACCAGAACTGTAATTTCAGAAGTAAGATTTCCCAATCCAAAACAAAAATAAACCCAAAATTATACACAACATAAAAAAAATATGAATCGAAGTAACAAAACTTGAATTTTGGAAGTACGGTTTCCAGACCCAAGCACAAAATCAACCCAAAATTATACACGACATGACAAAAATCTTATCCAAGTAACAAAACTGAAACCCTCAGCACTAGGTTTCCAGATCGAAGCACAAAAACCGACCCGAAATAGGAAAAAAAGACCATAAGAGGAAGAAGAAAAGGAACAAGAACATAATGGAGTTATGTTTTACCGATCGGAGCTTGCAAGAAGGTCGTCTGCAGCGAGGGGATGGTTCAAGCTCTGTGCACAGTGAATCGCTTTTGAATCGCCCTAAGGCTCAGTTTGGTAGAGTGGGTTTGAAGGGAAAGGGAAGGGAAGGTGATGGAAGGTTATAAAAAAATTGTGTTTGGGTAAAATTGGTGGAAGGGAAGGAAAGGAGAGGGAAGGGTTTGGAGGGTTAAGGCAAGGCTTGAACAGTAGATTTGTTAACCTCTCAAAAATGGGCGGAAACGGAAGGAAAAGGAAGGCAATGGCACATGTGATAATCGTGATGCCAATTTTACCCACACAAAATCAAGGATTTAGTTAAGCAAAACAAGAATTACAGACCTTAATTGGTTGATTTAGCAAAACAAAACCCGTACATATAAGTTAGCCATTGCACAGAGAAAGAGAGGGGGGAAGCTTACAGCGGCTGAAACTTGCGTACAGCGAACCCGAACTGGAACAACCGGCGATGGAAACGGCGAACCCAAACTAGAACAGCGGGCAAGAGAAACTGAAAGATATGGGTTTTGATTTTTGGAACAATCTGAAACAATATGCGGATATGGGTTTTGAACCTTTGATTCTTGCAAATGATAGATAAACATATGGGTTTGGAACTTGGATTGTTGTAGTTTTGTGGTTTGCAGTTGCAAAAGAGAGAGAGTGTTGCAGAGAGAGAACGAGAATAGAGATGGAGGCGGGGACCCTAAAATGATGACCCTAAAAATATTATATTTATATTAATGTTTTTCTTTTCTTTTTCTTTTTCTTTTATTTTCTTTTTTTTTTTTTTTTTTTTTTTTTTTACAAATATTACATACTTAAGTTATTAATTTTTATTTTAAATTATAAAAGGGTATAATAGTAAATTTACCGAAATACTTTCCTTTCCTTTCTTTCCCCAAACATAATTATTATCCTTCCCTTCCTTTTCCTTCCTTAATCAACCAAACACAATACTAAATTAAAATTATCCTTCCCTTCCCTTTCCTTCCATTTCCCTCATAACTAATCTTATCCTTCCCTTTCAAACCCACCCTACCAAACATAGCCTAAGGTTCGCTCTGTGTGCTTTCAGGATTTGTGGTCGATATGTGTATCGATGCTTTCTAGTATTTGGGCCCAAATGCTTCCACTAATGAGCTACAGTGCTGGAATCAACAATTTTTTGTGCTTATGAAAATAGGCCTAATTTTGGAAGTGTTTCTGACCTGTTTGGAAGCGTTGCATAACTTACCAAACATGCTTTGGCCCAGAATTGTGCTACAGTAACTGGCCCAAAGTAAAAAACAAGTGGCAGAAGCATCCACCAAACAGGTCCTTACAAAGCCAATTTATGTTGTCAAACAAGCCGAAACAAATACTTCATGTAAGGGTATAATAGTTATTTTGATAGTAAAAGGAATTCACCAAATGTTTTTCCAAACACACACAAAATTTCTTTTGACATTAAAAGCTCTTTTAAAATACAATTTCCAAACAATAACAAATAAGTGTCTGCGTTTAGTAATCGAAAACGTTTTCTGTTTTATGTTATCAGCCCCTAAAAAGGAAAAACAAAAATAAAAAACATGTTTAAAATATATTTTTATTTTTCTGTAACAAAAAACATTTTCCATTTTTGTGAAGAAATGAGGAAATATAAAAAAAGTTTTTCTCATGTAATCGACATTATTGAGCAACAACGTTTTCACTATTATTATTATATATACACTATTCATTTCAAATAAAATGTATGTTATTAACGTTATATACTAATGTTGCATATTAAATACTAATAAAAATATAATTTTAATATAGAATTATATTTATATTATATATTAGTGTAAATTATTTTTTATTTAACAAAAATACTTTGCATATTTTTAAAATATAATATATTATATAATAGTATAAATTATTTTTTGGGACAAAAAAAATCATTTATTATATATTTTATTTAATATTATTAAATTATTATGCAACAAATATAATATATTATTATATACCATATCTATATTATATTATTTAATATTTATTATTTATTATAATATAATATATGTTAAATATATTATATATTTTATAATAAATGTATAGATGATGCATATGCATGCACTTATATACATAATTGGTGTGAATGTTTTTGTTTTAATATATCTTATTTTGTACTCATGTATTGGGTATTATTAGAATTTGGGATTTTAAATTGAATATTATATTTGAAATAACTGAATTGCATACATATTTTAAGTTTTTTTGTACTAATGAAAAAAATTAAAATTAAAATAAAATAATTAAAAAATGTTATGTAAATCTATAACAAATCTGTATTATTAAACACTGCTATTATTTTTTACTTTCAAAATTGTGACAATAACAAGTATTAATAAAAGTCATTTTTCTTTTTTATTGTCGCTCAAGAAGACAAAATTATATTTTTGTTTTCTTGAGATTGCAAAAATAGAAAACGAAAACGTTACTAAACGCACTCTAAATAGAAGTTATTGCTTCCGCTTCTCTTCTTCTACGGCATAAATGTAGAAACAAAGGCTATGCCAAAAAGCCCCTAAGGCATTGTTTGGCAGAAATAATTTTTGAAAAAAATCCAAATATGAGTTATTTTGAGCTCATTTTATTTTTAAAAAATATATAAATAAATAAAATTTATTAAATAAAAAATGTATTGTTTAGGCACTATTTGTTTAAAAAAAAATTTTTTGATTTGGCTTAAAAATTAACAAAAAAAATTATTTTTTTCTTTGTTTTTTCCTTAAATTTGATTTCTTTTTTTAAAAATTTTACTTTATTTTTAAAAATTCAGTCACAACCTGCCCTTATGGTTTAGCTCGCACAAACAGTGTTTTAAAGAGGATTTTGGACCAAATTTTTTTAAAAAAATTTTTAAATAGGACAAATTCAATTTTATTTATTTACTTAAAAATATTAATATATTTAAAAAGTAACTATTTAATAACTAAAATTTGGAGACTCGACTTCGCTAAGATGAGTCTTCTCTGAGTTATCCTACGAATTCTCAAACTTTTTATTGTTGTTTTATTTTTCTTGAATATTTGATAGATATGATGCATTGATGTGCGGTGAAGATTTAATATTCGCGTTCCAAAAGATTGTCTCTCTCGTGGCGTTGTCTATGACGGCGCACAATTCTCTAAGGAGTTCTGAGCGCAAAACTGACCTATTTTACGAGATTCTATTATATTCTGCCTTTAAATCCTCTATTATTTTTTGATCTATCGTTATTTTATTTGCTAGTGATTTTATGGTTTCTTTCGATTTTAGTGATTTTATTCGGTTTTGATTTGAAATTAGGTAGGAAAAAGACGAGGTGATGATGAAATTCATTGGTTTGTCAATCCACTGACACGTGTGTGATGTTAATAATGAATCCCGACAGGTTCTGATCGTCTTTTTCTTTTCACACCCAAAAAAACCTACAAATTATCACACACTAAATCACATCTTTATATATATATATATATATATTATATATATGTATGTACTTAATATGTATGAGTATGTTTATGTTCTCATTTTCTTGGTAATGGGCATGTGATGAATCATGAATCTCATAACAAATGGGTAATTTGCGTCTGAACGTTTCAGTGATGCTAAATCACTAAGTTGCCAATTACTTCAGGTATGTTATTTTTTCTCATGTATATTAGTGACATATTTAGCTATTTGAAAGATTTATGGACTAAGTAAAATATATTATTGTAAACATTTTGTGATATTGGTTTAATTAATTGGGTTCTTCTGAATTAACAATGCTTGATACCCATGTGAGGTATTTGTTTTGGACCTAGCATGAAGTACTTTCAAGGGTTTTTGAATTTTTTGCCTTTGGAACATTTAATTGTGCAATAGTGGAGGTTGTAGGCAATGACTTAAGTCTTAAACTTCTCTATCTTGACATTGGTTGCAATAAGGTGGCTTAGTATCATTTAAATCTTTACATTTGCTACTTGTGAAGCTTGCTACTGATGGGGATGTGCATATTCTAAATTTTATCATTAATGCTCTCAGTTCCAGTTTCACTTCCTTGAAGATAAGGTTTGCTTAATTTTTTTTTCAGTCATCTTCTTATGTATGGCATTGTGGCTTAAGTTGTAACAATGTTGTTTCTACGATCTCATTTAACCAAGTTTACTTTATGTAACAACGTTGTGCTTTTCAGGTAGTTCTGATTAGGATTGATTAGTGTTAAGTACTGGATCTGACTCCATTATGTTGCCGGTGAGGATCTCTAATACTTGGGGTAAGTTGCCTAATGCCAATATCTGGCACATCACTTTGGTATCGTGTGTTGGTTAAGTTGTTTGATGTGTTTAGATAAATGAAGTGATTATATTTTCTCTCAGTAAACAATTTAAATGAATTGATAGTTTTAGATTCCCTCTCAATTATGAGCATATCAAAATTTTGTGAAACCACATTTTGCCACAACGTAAGTTACCGCTTGGGTACTTGGTTGGTTAATTTAGATCTTAATTAAGAGAGATGAAGATTTGAAATCTTTTAAGTTGCTTTAATCGAGTATTTTAAAGAAGTCTAAACAAAATAGCTATGATTTTAAAGCAGGAAAAAAGATAGAAAGTCACAAAAATAAATGTCTTATGGATTTGGATCCCTTCCTAGATCCTTTTAGAAGATATTGTATTTAGAGTTTATAAACCCTAAATGCATTCCACAAGAGAATTTCTGTCTTTAAAATTATTCATTCAAGTCTTCCACAAAATTCTCCGTCTAATCTCTTACAAGTCAAGTTTAAGCTTTAAAAATCTGTACAATGGGAAAGAAGTGAGAAAGTAGATCACGGAAAGGAGAACATAGAGCTTGAAAGCTGAAGGAGATACATTCTTGAAAGTTTTTTTTGAAAAGGATTTTCTCTGCATCAAGAGTTTTCATGCTTCCCAAAACATCAAATACTCATTTCATTACAAATGACATCTTTGGTCATTGAAGATTGGTGGATCAATAATGTGGTATAAGGAAGAGGAGATCTAGCAAGCAAGGGCTTGGAGTTCCTACGATCTAAGAGCATCACAAGCCTTTTCGGCCAATGGCTTGCAGTGTAACGAATTAAATCCCTTGGGTTGGGCTTCTCCATTTGGTGTTGTCCACACCAAATTCCACACTCCACTTGTGGAGTAGCGCCCTTGATATATGACCATTCCCTTGTGTATATTTTGTGTTTTTTTTATTTATAAAAAGTGATGGTGTGTGAGACAAATAATAAAAAGTATAGGCCAAAAAATAATAAAATAATAAAGTGGAGAATGGGAGAGGAGTGCACACCAAGAGGAAGGACATTCCAAAAAAAAAAGAGTAGAGCCACGTTAGCAATTGTGTAGCCAATTTGCATCATTCCACACAGGATGCTCTAAATGTGAGATTGAAGATTGGAAGAAAGTACTGGCCTTTGTGTATGAGGCCACATCATTTTATTTATGAGATTTCTAAGCCTAAATTCATGGGAATCTAGAAATATAAAATATGTAGGACTAGAGTGTATATCTCTATGTAGGCTCTCGGAGAAGATGTTTTAGGGTTTGGAGCATCCCGTTTGCAAAAATTGGCTCTACACTTTATTTGGAGAGTCCATCCTCCTAGTGCTCTCTCTCGTTCACCCCTTTATTATTTTTAGGCTCCACACACCATCACTTATCTTTTTAAAAAAAAAAATATATACACAAGGGTTCACTTTGGGGCCTTAGTATACCACACTCCACTTGTGGAGTGTGGAGTGTGGAATTTGGTGTGGGCTCCACCAAATGGAGGAGCCCACACCAAGTGAAAGCCATTGTCCATAAAGACTTGCCATTGGCCATAACACTCTCTAGATGCAATAAACAAATTCCAATCAGGGATTTTCGTAGCAAATTTAAAGTGCAAAGTCGTTTTAATATAAAATAATTCATTATAAGAAAGGCATTACTAAATAATTCTCAAATGGTTACTAATTAGCATGTAAGTATTAAATTTGGGAATTATTCATTTTGTCAGTACTTTATAGTTTAGAATAATTTTGTTTGGGTTTCATTACTTATATCTAATTGTTCTTTAATTTTTTCTAGAGATTCGCCCTCTTCTAGATTGAGCAGTAGATAGAAGTTGATATCTGCAGGTACTTGCCTCTTGTAATGGGTACTGTTGGTTGGTCATGATTGAGCCAATTATTCTATTTTTACATGTGTTTCGAGTCCTAGTCAGTTGTGGTACGGGTATTTTGAATGGAATGGCTATGTTTAAGGTCTTGTTTGGAATTGTTTTTGGCTTATCTTGAGTGAAAAAGAAAAAGAAAAAGAAAAAGAAATTATAGTAACTTGTAGACATTTAGGACTGAACAACTATCAAACAGAACTGCTTCATGATCATCTTACTTCCTAGAATAATTCGATGATCAAAAGGATTGCCAATCATTTTTCTAGGTTTTGGGGTATTGGCTTTGCTCGCTGGGCTATTGCTCAGTGTGTGTATCCCACTTGCTGAACAAATGCCCAGTGCTCACTGGTCATTTGCCCAACAATTGAGGTCCACTAAATGGGTAAAGGCCCATCGAGTGCTATTTAAGCTGGACTTGCCGAACTTGCTTTGCAATTTAAAAATATATATTAATAAATAGAATATAAAAGATGAAAATGAATATAATAAAAAAAGGTGACCTTATCTCACATGCACATGTTCCTAACAACGCAGATAGTAGTTCATCGAAAGACACAATATCATCTTGCATGCTATTTTGGAAATTTGTTTACAATCTTACCTTATGATTCTGGTATAAGAAAAGAGACTTGTGCAGAAATGGAATTTTTACCTGTAAAGTAAGTTTTCTAGAAGGAAGATTTTCTGAGATAGTTATTCCAATGCTGGATTTGCTTATATATATATTTATATATATTGTTTTTATAAAGTTTTTTTTTTTTTTTTTGAATATTTGATAGACATGATGTGCTGTGAAGAACTAATTTTTGTGTTCCAAAGATAGTGTCTCTCATGACAGTGTCTGTGATGGCACACTATCCTTTAAGAAGTTCTGAGCACAAAACTCATCTACTATTATTCTAATCTAGTTTTAAATCCTCTTATTTTTTTGCTCGTGATTTTAGGTTTTCTTCTGATTTTGTGATTAGTTTTTTATCTGAAATTTGGGGGGAAAAAGACGAGGTGACGAAGAAATTCATTGGTCTGTCAATCCACTGACATATTTCCATGTGATGTTAATAATGAATCCCGACAGGTTCTGATCGTCTCTATCTTCCCAGATCCAAAACACACACAATTCATCGCGCACAAACTCATATCTCTGTATAATATAATATAATATATATATATGTATATATATGTATCTATCTGTGTGCACGTAAGTTTATGTTATTTTCTTTTTCATGGGCATATGAGGTTTAAACACACAATTCATCACACACAAACTCAAATCTTTGTATAATATATGTTTGTATGTATGTATCTATGTGTGAGTATGTTTATGTTCTTATTTTCTTTTTCGTGGGCATATGATGAATCTCATAACAAATGGGTAATTTGCGCCTGATGTTTCAGTGATGCTAAATCACCTTGGAGAACTGATGCTTTTTTTTTTGTTCATGTTCTGATATGAAAAATGTTGCTTTTGCCTCATTAGCTTCTTTTTAGATAGTGTGATGGCAACAACTGATTTTAGGTTTTAAAAAAGGTCAATGCTACATAGATCTAAAACTTTAACCTATAATGGATTGATGAAAATTCCTTGGCCAGGCTTCTTGGTTAGGTTTTAAGGCTTAGAGAATCATTATCCTTTAATAAATTTATCCACATTATTCTTTTGCATTGGGTAGTCAAATATATGAAATGGAGTTGTTTTTAATATAGGCATATGATTAGTTGTTTGAAATTGATGCTTAGTTCTATTTTTAAGCTGATTTTTTTTAATAAGGGTTATTAGTGGATAAACTCTAAATGTGTAAGACAACATGTGTGAAAACACTAGGCAGTGTGTTGTGTTGTGTTGGTGCAGTACTCTCTATTCATAGTGTTTGCTGTTCCATTTACTGCACCAAGGGATAAAAATTCTTAGGCTAAACTTTATCTACTACGTCAAAGAGATAAAAACTCTATAGGCTAGACAAAGCAGTTTGGAAAATATGTGGTTACGCAAATCTTTAGCCAAACACCTGAAATATAGTTGATATTCTTACGAGTATTTTACTCCCTCCGTCCCATATTAGTTGTCCCCATCAAAAACTTTGACTCACAATTTTTGTGAGTTAAAGTTACCCAAATAGACATCTAATATGGGATATAGGTAGTATATAAGTATAAAAAATGAATATGACTAAAAATGACCTCAAAAATAAAAGGTGGTAGTGAGTCAAAATTTTTTGATTGGACAATTATTATGGGACGGAGGTAGTAGTAATTTACTATTGAGTAATTGTAACCTTATGAATTAATTATTTTGTGCACAACATCAAACTACTTATAGGTTCATTAAGTAGACTGCTGTCAATGTAATAAAAATGACATTAAATTGTTTGCTTCTTGTCACTATATTGTCACTAAGTGATTTATTTATTACACTAAGTAGGTTCATTAAGTATGTTTGAATTTTTGTGTAGTTTTTTCTAAGATCTAATGCAATGAATGCCGGTTTGTGTAATAAAGTTGGGTCAGTTTGTGTAATAAAGTTGGGTTGTTCAGGTGGTGGTAGGGAGTTGTCATTAGGATTGGTGGGTGCAAGTACTGCTAATGTCATAAGCAAGATCAGTACTGTGTTTTAGATTTGTGTGACTTAGCCGTCTATTGAGATTGAAGCTAATGTCTTTTTTCTTTCTATTAAGGTAATTTAAATGAGTTGTTATCTTTAAATTCTCTCAGTTTTGACCGTATCAAACTTTGTGAAGCAGTCATATGGCTACATTATGCTATAACATAAGTGTACTTTAAAATCTAAATTGAGAGAGAAGATTTCAAAACATTTAAAGTTGCTTTAATTGAAAGTTAGCATCTGGTGCTTTACACAAGTTTAAACAAAATTGATGACTATAAAGTAGAAAAAAGAGAAATTGTTACAAAATTAAATGTTGATAAAGTGATTTCTGAAGGCATTTGGAAGGTTAGAGCCAAAATTTGCAGCCTTGGACAGTGAAAACAAATGGTTGGTTTGGGGCTCTCTAATTCTTGTTAAGTGCTTTTGTTTTTTGAATAGCCATTCGCTTCCCAAAAACCCTTAAACAAGTTTCAGTTTCACACTATTTGTTTTCACTGGCTACATGTCTCTCCAACATCAAATGCTCTGGTACCAATTGAAGGAAATGGGATTTTAATAAAAAAGATCTTCCAGATGATGTAGAAGGTCTAACCCTTGAAGATATCAAAATAGCGTCTAGAGGCCTTTTATTCTCTTGATCTACAATACCATTTTCTTTAATTGGTATCAGAACATTTGAATTTGGGTAGAGATTTTGAGATTTTCAAAATGGGTTTCACATTGATCCAACAAGGTAGCGAGAGAGAGAGAGTGAGCTACTATTGTTTTGACATACAAAGTGGAAAAGTGCGGAGATTTCTCTCTAGTAGTGAAACCATAACTCTTACACACTGTTGGAAGCTCCTACATTGCAAAGTCTTATACATCTTCTCAAGGTCATAGGAGTGAAGAAGTCTTTGGGGTGCTTCTTCAAGAGGCTTGGAGGAGATTGAGATTGAAGGTGTTTGGATTGTAGATCAAGAGAAGGAAGGGCCTTTAGGATCTATCTTGAGGAGATAGCTGGGTTAAAATTTTATTTCCTTTTACACCATTCATTCATCCAAAGTTTTTGAAAACCTCCATCTCTTAATTCTGTACACAATTTCTTGGATCGGAAGATCTTTTTTATTGGAATACCATTCCCTTCCACAGGTGTGAATTTGTTGTGCTCCTAATAATTTATCTTTTTCCTTGTGATATTTTGGATGTTTGTTTACAATTGTACATTAATCTTGTGCAGTGATGGAACTTTCACCAAAAAAGAAAGTACACCATACTGTCCATGGGGGATCTGAGGATTTATGAAATGATAAAGGGATAACATAAGGTCAGCCTAATTAGGTTCCTCAGCATTATGAATGACAACGGGTTGGGATCCCTTCCCATCCTCATCCAGTTTGACAAAGTAAATCTGTCCCTGCCAAACTCGCTTATCAAAAGATTCACGTACTCCATCCCTCTCCCTTAACAAATATTTTAATTAAAAAAATGATATGGATCATATGAGTTTTATCAAATGGTATAGGGATAAGATATTTAAGTTTTTGATTTTTTAGTTTATGAAAGGTATTTAAGTAATTATGCAATATAAACGAGATGGGAAGAGTACCTATCACCATCCACACCTGTGCTGGTTTTTATCTCAAGCCATCCCTGCACCTCCCCGATCCCTACTAAGCATTACAGCATCACAAATTACAATCTGTCCTTGAACAACTCAAGTATGATTCATTACTTATCTTGTTCAAGCTCAATTTTAGATTGAAAATTGAGTCATCTTGCAGGTTATAGATTTAATATAACACTGCTCATAAGGCAACGAACTAGCAAATGACTAAGTTTACACACTAGCTTGTAACTTGTAAAAAAGGTTAATTTGCTAGTCCAAGTATAACATTTTGAAATGCATATAAATTGTACTTCTAGTTCACTACCTAGGTGTTTACAAACCTGCAATCTCTCCTGATCTCTCCCTGTTCTCCAGTGAGCACATTGATGTTCCCCATCTTGATCATTGAATCCACAAATGAAGCAAATAAAAGTTATTGATTTGAGGCATAAGTCCACACATTTTTTTTTATCTCCCCTTCAAAATCTTTATTGGCTAACACATTATCAGATATTAGCAATCCTTGTCCTTGAATAATATTGTGGAAGTAGTGGTTGTCAAACCTAGCCGGAGTCATCAAATCAAGCGGTGCCAATTCACTGTCTCTCCCTGATTTCTGACATATGGACCGTAGGATTCTTCTGAACTCTGTGTTTCTCTTGCGATGGTACAAGTGTTCTTTGGTGTTCTGGTCATAGACTCTTTGCCTGAAGCTTAAACATCTTGCCTTTCCCATTGTGTGACTACCTATAAACAAACCCATGAAGATTACAATGTGTTATTCCCATTTGCAGAGGAAATTCAAAGGAAAATAGAAAGAAAAGAGAGGATAAAATTTTCCATAAATAAAAGTGTTAAGGGTTATTTTTGTCTTATCCGGTCATACTTTAGGGTTAAAGAGGTCTTTTCACTAGGGGTTAAAAGGGTCTTTTCATACTGTGTAAGTGTGCTCTTCAAACGCCTAGATGACCGTTGGGGTTGGTAGAAATCACGTGCCAACCTTAGGAGGTGTAAGTGGAGTAGGTTTATCCAAATTATGCAAGCATGTGTAATTAGATCTAACCTCCATAGGGTCAATGTAATTTAGCCAAGAGATAATGTTTGGTTGGTGAGAAAATGACTAATGAAAAGCATTCAAATTGGAATGTTATGAGCATATATATGAAAGACCACATAGTATTAGGATCACAAACTCCCTCTTATTTCCAAGTCTTCCATGACACAACATGTTATTCATTACTCAATTATTTCTCTATCTTTGCGCATTTGTGGAATGTGGATGTTCAGAAAATTACCTGATAAAGCAACCAAGTCTTTGATGTCAAGACCCTGTTGTTGAAAATTGGCAATGAGAGTCTCTAAAGAGGAATTTGGAGCAGGTATGAATTGGTTGGCACCATTGAAGCTTGCTTTTAAAGAGTCTCTCCTGCCCAAATAGACATTCCATCTGGGACCACCTCTCTGTTGATAAAAAAGAACAGCAAAGATTGCTAAAAAGTGAAACAGAATGTGACTCTCACATAAATGTCTATTGGTTACTTTTCATTTGTATTGATGAGATGACATCACGCGACACACATAAATATGTTATCGGTCACTTTTCATTTATGTTGATTAATCCATCTATTTTAATATATATTAACGAGGCTGTATTAAGTTAGACTCACATAAGTATATCTATTAATTTTTATTATTATTATTTTTTTTATTTGCGTTGTTTAATCTGCCTATTTTGCGCTCAAGTAGTATTAGTCTATATACATGCATGTGTGTGTGTATATATGTATATATATAAATATTTATAAATAAGACCTTGTCAAGTAATCTGGGTCTAGCCCAGTGCAATATTTATTAAAAAACTGCATTAACCCCCTTTTATGGTTCAATTTGTATTTTATTTTGTTTTATTCATAGATTTGTTGCATTGGTAAAATTTGGTTACATTATTTGTGACAAACTCAATTTTCACTTTGCAAGGCCGATCATTTAGTATTAATTAGGTTTGTTTTTAGGCACAAATTATAGCACTAGTAAGTACAAAATCTTCATGTTTGTTTGTTTTCCCTCATGAGAAAAAGTAGCAATTAATTATCTCCAAAATTTGGTAGTGTCTGAATTCAATTTATGTGAGTGGGGTGGTGGGACCCACTATATGATATCACCATAATGTCGTGTGATAAGACCCACCACATCTCTTACATAAATTAAATTCGACAATTGCCGAATTTGGTCCCTACATCACTACTCTTATGAGAGAGAGATGTACTGAAGCAACAGCGTCACGAGCAGCAATGGTGAAGATTTAATATTCGGGTTCCAAAGATTGTCTCTCTCACGACACTGTCTGTGACGGCACACAATCCTCTAAGTTCTGAGTGCAGAACTAACCTATTTTACTAGATTCTATTATATTCTACCTTTAAATCCTTAGTATTTTTTGCTCTATCGTTATTTTATTTGCTAGTGATTATAGGGTTTCTTCCGATTTTAGTTATTTTTATTCGGTTTTGATTTGACCTTGGGGAGGAAAAAGACGAGGCGATGATGAAATTCATTGGTCTGTCAATCCACTGACATATGTGTGATGTTAATAATGAATCCCGACAAGTTCTGATCGTTTCTTTCTTCCCACACCCAAAAGAAACCTACAAATTATCACACACAAAGTCACATCTTTATATAATTATATATATATATATATATATATATATATATATATTATGTACTTAATATGTATGAGTATGTTTATGTTCTTATTTTCTTGGTAATGGGCATGTGATGAATCTCATAACAAATGGGTAATTTGCGTCTGAATGTTTCAGTGATGCTTAATCACCTTGGAGAACTGATGCCTCTTTTTTTTGGGTCTTAATGTTAATAATGTTAATGGTTTTGATATCGAGTAAAAGCAGAATTTGAATTTTACGAGTTTAAAATGAAGTTGGTCTTTTACATTATGTTGCCAATTATAACAAGAATGTTAATTTTTTTCTTGTACATCAGTGACATATTTAGCTATTCATTTGAAAGATGTCTGTACCAAGTAAAATATATTATTGTAAACTTTTTTGTGATTTTGGTTTTAATTAATTGGGTTCTTCTACTTATCAAAAAAATTAATTGGGTTCTTCTGAATTAACAATGCTTGATACCTATGTGGGGTATTTGTTTTCGTGTAAGTTGTAGGCAATGACTTTAGTCTTAAACTCTCTATCTTGATATTGGTTGCAATAAGGTGGCTTTGTATCATTTAACTCTTTACATTTGCTATTTGTGAAGCTCGCTACTGATGGGGATGTGCATATTCTAAATTTTATCATTAATGCTCTCAGCTCCAGTTTCACTCTCTTGAAGATAAGGCTTGCCTTTTTTCTTTTTCTTTTTTCCCAGTCATCTTCTTAACAATGTTGTTTCTAAGATCTCATTTAACCAAGTTTACTTTATGTAACAATGTTGTGTTTTTCAGGTAGTTCTCATTAGGATTGATAGTGTTAAGTACTGGATCTGATTCTCTTATTTTGCCGGAGGGGATCTCTAAAATTATTTGTACTTGGGGTAAGTTGCCTTATGCCAATATCTGACACATCACTTTTGTATTGTGTGTTGGTTAAGTTGTTTGATGTGCTTAAATAAATTAAGTTATTATTTTTTCTCTCAGTAAACAGTTTTAATGACTTGATATTTTTAGATTCCCTCTCAATTATGACCATATCAAAATCTTGTGAAACCACATTCTGCCATAACGTAAGTTACCGCTTGGGTACTTTAAATCTTATGGTATCGGTTGGGTAATTTAGATCTTAATTTAGAGAGATGAAGATTTGAATCTTTTAAGTTGCTTTAATCGAGTATTTTAAAGAAGTCTAAACAAAATAGGTATGATTATAAAGCAGGAAAAAAGATAAAAAGTCACAAAATAAATGTCTTATGGATTTGGATCCCTTCCTAGATCCTTTTAGAAGATATTGTATTTATAGTTTATAAACCCTAAATTCATTCCACAAGAGAATTTCTCTCTTTAAAATTATTCATTCAAGTCCTCCACAAAATTCTGTCTAATCTCTCACAAGTCAAGTTTAAGCTTTTAAAATCTCTACAATGGCAAAGAAGTGAGCAAGTAGATCACGGAAAGGAGGAGAACATAGAGCTTGAAAGTTGAAGGAGATACACTCTTGGAAGTATTTTTTGAAAAGGATTTTCATCTTTTTGTATCAAGAGCTTTCATGCTTCCCAAAACATCAAATACTCATTTCATTACAAATGACATCTTTGTACATTGAAAATTGGTGGATCAATAATGTGGTACAAGGAAGAGGAGATCTAGCAAGCAAGGGCTTGGAGTTCCTACGATCTAAGAGCATCACAAGATAAAAAAAATGAGTATCGGACACAAGGGCTTGTAGCTATTCATTATTGATCCAAGAGGAAAGACTCTCCAAAACTCTACACTTGTGGAGTAGTGCCACGATGTCTGACCAAGGGCCTAAAGTGGGCCCTTGTGTATATGTTTGTTTTTTTTAAAAAAAGTGATGGTGTGTGAGACAAGTCATAAAAGTGTAGAGTCAAAAAATAATAAAATAATAAAGTGAAGAGTAGGAGAGAAGAGTGCACACCAAGAGGAAAGACTCTCCAAAAAAAAAAAAATGTAGAGTCAATTTGCTTCCTTCCACACAGGATGCTCTAAAAGTGAGATTGAAGATTGGAAGAAAGGAGCTTAAAACTAAGAGAGTGCGATTTCACCACACTAGGGGCGATTTGTGTGACTGCGGTTTTGTTAGGTTTGGGATGAAATCCTTTCTGGAAATTGCAAGATTACCAAGAATCTCGCTTGGAGGGGAAGTGAAGACGGTAGTTCCTCACTGAGGACCATCGTTGTACATAGACGGGGAGTTCGTTGGAGGAAGGAAGTCAGTTCTCTCATCCTGTTTGGTCGAAAGATTTGATAAGGAAGTGGGGGGTTGTGATCGAGTGAAAGAATTGGCAGCGCGGGCTTGAAATATGACTTGTGGAGTGGGGTTAACACCCTTATCCAACTCACTGCTCCTTTTCCGGTTTCCTTCGTAGGTAGAGGCCAAACGTGTGTTGAAGGAAGGGCGATGATAGTGGGGTTCTGCAACTCTGAGGATCGACGTGTGGTCCTTCAGAGTTGGGTGTTTTGGCGTTCTTAGCGACTATGTTACATGGACTCGGGTACGGGTATCGGACACGGATGTGTATCCATGCGTCGGACGTGTCAAATCTCCAAATAGAATGACACACGGACATGGCTAAATATTCATTTTATTAATTATTTTATTTTATTTTCTAGAGTAAAGTAATGTTTTTATCTAATATAATGTTCAATATAGACTTTTAACTCATTTTAAAGTAATAATATATTGTAATTGAATGATTGGATATGCTTTTTAAATACATGTCCAATCAAAAGTGTCGGACACATATCCCATACCTATGTCCGAGGGATATGTGTCCGACACGGGTACTTCACAACTTTTGAAGAGTCCATGTAACAGAGCTTAGCGATAAAGGTCTCAAACAGATCAGGCTGTTTGGCCTTCCTTTGCATCCTTGGTGTCATGCTTTGTTCGTCGAAGTGGGAGAGCTTTGTGGTGGGTATGTGAGATCTGATGCGGATGAGACTAGGGATGCCGAAGGCGTTTGGATAACAGTGAGATCCGGCCTGTTTATTAACGACGACACCTTCTGCTATAAGGTCGCGATCTAGGAAAAAATCTTGCCGGAGCTTGTTCTTTCAACGGAGAGTCTCGAAGGTAGTGACGGATCACACCTTATGACGGAAGAGAAATGGAATGAGATTCTCAGTAAAGGAAAAGAGGGGGTTCTCGAGATTCAACAGTGGTTGAAGGATTGAGAAATCCAACGAGCAGTGAAGTATATAGGAGGTAGAAGACGAAGTGATCTTCACGCGCCGTCCAAATGCGTTGATGATGAACAGAGAAGGATTACACGTGAAGGTCGACTGGATACTCATCCGGATTCCCCCTTATCCTTATCTCTTGATGATAAGGTAGGGGAGGAAAATTCTAATCGGGCTGAGGATGGCGGTGAGATGGGCCAGAAGATGTCAAGGCAGGCCAGGAGTCAGATTGGGCCTAGTCTTAATTCTGGGCTCACTCAGCCTAAACCCAACAGAGCGATTTTTGGTTCTGGGCCTAATCGACGGGTACAGACAGGGCCGATTAGATTCGGGCCAAATAAACGGATTCAGACTGGTCTATTGGATCTGGGCCTAATAGAAGGGTGCGAAAAGGGCCAAATTCTTTAACTATCTCTTTCTCAGACACCAAACCAGGCCCTAATCCTTTGAGGCCATATAATGAAGTTTAAGTCCATGTTAAGCCTTCGCCTCATTTGTCTAAGTTTAATTCTTCATCGGATAAACCTGAGCGGAGGATGATGGATGTCGGTTGCCATGGTTCTCGGAGGACTCGGACTGAAAAGCAGAAATGGGTTGCACGATCTCACGCTTCACATTCAGGTTTGAGCTCTGTTCATTCTCAAAGTGCTATTTCTACTTCTACTCCTTCTTCGGGTGGAGTGGTGAGAACTGGGGATGTTGTGGAGGATGTATCGAATCAACAGAGTGGTCTTCTTGGGTCTTCAGGTTCATGGTGTGATGGGTCAGTGTTGGATGTCTCAAAAGCCACAACTGGGAGTGTAGGGTGTTTCAATGGAGTGACAGTTTGCGTTGGGAAAGACCTGCACTTCAAACTGACTAATGACTCAGCTGTAGCTCTGCTTAAAGAGCTTCGGCTCTTTGCTGCGTTTGAAGGACTGAACAGTCAACCATCTGCGAATGAGGTGAATTTGTCAACTGAACAGGATGATTCGGAAACAGAGGGGGATATGCAGTTAGGAGTGGTTGATTTTCCTTCTCAGCAGCACTGTTCTAATGACTCCTTTTCCTGGATGGATTTGGATCAATCAGAAGTGGATTTAATGGAACCTTTGGCAGTTGTGTGGCCAGATTGTTTGGAGATGACCAATGATCTGGGTATGGAATGGGTTATCGAGAACATTGGAGCAGTAAGTGAAGCCTTGGGTGTCTCTTCAGAAGGTTATGATGATTGAACCTTGTCTATTCTTCACGAAATAGTTGCAGGTAATGACAGTACTGAACCTAATCGTGGCACAAAAGAAGTCAAAGCCAGAAAACATTTTTCGCATCGGAAAGGGGAACATGAAGTGAAGAATCTGATTTCTTGTGTTAATTATGACGGGAAGAATGGGACGACCAAAGAAAGGGGAAGAACCAAAAGTGGTAAATGGGGAGGAGGAGGGGAGTTGATCGTTTTTGGTTCTTCATGAAGCTACGACTTATAATGTGGAATGTTCGTGGTTTAAATGATCCGGACAAAAGAAGAGTTGTCAAGGTAGCTTTGAGAAAGTGGAGTGCCCATGTCGTTTGTTTACAGGAAACTAAGATGGCTTCTATCACTGTTGAGATTGTCATGAGTCTTTGGGGAGGAAGGTTTGTGGATGGGTAGTGTTGAACGCCTCTGGAACTTCGGGTGGTATTCTTTTTATGTGGGATCGAAGGTGGTTATCAAGTTTGAATAGTTGGAAGGGTATTTTCTCTGTGTTATGTCTGTTTCAAATGGAGGAAGACAATTTCAGATGGGTGTTTTCAGGTGTTTATGGGCCTGTTATTGATAGTGACAAACCAGTCTTGTGGGAAGAGCTTTGCTATGTTAAGGGATTGTGGTCATTGCCTTAGTGTTTAGGCGGGGATTTTAATTCTATTAGGTCCCCGTTTGAGAGGTCCACAGGGGGCAGGTGGTCCTCTGAAACGACCATGTTTTCAGAATTCATTGATAGTCATTTTCTCATTGACCTACCATTCGAAGGAGCAGCCTTTACTTGGTCTAATGGTAGAGAACCGGTTACTTTTTCACGGTTGGATAGATTTCTGATTTCTGGGGCGTGGGAAGAGCATTTCCTGGATGTCTCTCAGGCTGTTCTGGTTAGAGTGACATCTGATCATGTGTCTTTACTTCTTGATTGTGGTGGTATGAGTTCTAGACGCACACCTTTCCGTTTTGAAAATATGTGGCTAAGATTTGAGGATTTCCAAGGGAAAGTTCAGTCTTGGTGGGAGGAAGCGAGTTTTACAGGCTCTGCTAGTTTTGTGTTAGCTAGAAAGTTTCAGTTTCTTAAAACTGAGTTAAAGAGGTGGAATAAAGAAGTGTTTGGGAATCTTGAATGGAAGAATAATAGAGTTCTTGCTGATATTGTTGAGCTCGATCGTCTTGATGAGGTGGGGCAGGATGGGGAGCCATTACGCTCTAAAAGAGCCTCTTGCTAGGCGAATTTTGCTGAGATTGCTTTTATGGAGGAGATTTCGTGGCGCCAGAAGTCTCGGGCATTATGGTTAAGAAAAGGGGATTGTAATACAAAATTCTTTCATAGACTTGCCAACGCTCACAGAAGATGTAATCACATAGGGCGTATCTGTGTCAATGGTTCTGAGCTGTGGAGAGAGGATGAGGTGCGCAGGGGAATTGTTTCTTTTTATCAGCAGCTTTACACTGAGA